TGCCGCGGGCTGCTATAGAGCCTTGCATTCCAGCCGTTTCCCACTTTGCCCGCTCCTCATCTGGATGGGAAGTTGGGGAAAATGGACAGGGTCGTGGTGAGGTGGATTGCTGTCTTCTGGCTAACAGGTAAGAGTCATTTTCTACAGAGACGAATAACTTTACATATTCATGTAGTGGTACTGTTCTCACCCCCCCAGCCCCCATTTTCTTCCTTCTTGACTGTGTTTAAAGCTGCTTAGCGCGCTGGTGGTAAGTGGGGGATGGGGGCAGTGTGTGTGTGTGTGTGTGTGTGTGTGTGTGTGTGTGTGTGTGTGAAAATGATGGGGGAGGCGGGGGAGAAGCCCTATTACAAGTGAGACGGATCTTGATGCAGGTGTTTGACTCATTGGCGCTATGAGGTGGTTCTTTCCAATGTGCATTTCCCCCTGCATACAACGGTTCTTCCTCGGTCTTATCCTGAGTTTGTAATCCTGTGAGTCCTGGGAAAAGCCTGGCTGGAAAAAAGGAAGCTCGGAGGAAGCAGATTAATTAAGTGAACTGGTTTTCTGGAGGTGGGGGATGGACTGTCTCTTTAATTCCTCCCCTAGAGAAGGAGGGAGACCCAGGGGCATTCCGCGGGGGGGAGGGTGGGGGTGGGAATGGGGATGGAGACTTGATTGATCGTGGAGTTTAGTGTCTGGCTGTCTCTCACTTGTTACCATTCGAGGAGTGGTCGCAAATGATGTTGGAAAGGAGAAGAACCTAATTGGTGCACCACCACCCCCCTCCCCACAACACACACAGACACACACACAGATAATTTGCAAAGAGATTTAGAGGCATCGGGCTTATCCCCAGCACCAGTCACTGGTTTAGCTATGTCCTGTGTGTCCTCCCTTCCCTTTTTGTGAACTTTCTCCCCATTCTCCTGGGGCCAGGAAAGGCTCTTGTTCTTAACATGTTTCCCCACGTGGTGATTCTGCTTGGTTAAGGGACAAGTGGCCCTTGGGGGCGGCCAGTCCTGAGAGATTCTTAAAGCAGGCCTGCTGAGGGGGGTGGGATGGGGGTGAGGACCGTTTTGGTAGCTTGAACTGGGTCAGAGGCAACCATTCAAAGCAAGGTGGAGACAGAGTGATGGAAGAAACAGAACATGGGGTCAGAAAGGTGAGGACAGGAGGGGGTGAAAGGCAGGCCAGAAAAGGGAAAATAGCACCACAAAGGAAGAAGTTTTGTTCCCTCTGGGGCACCAACCTGAAGATCTGGAACAAAATCAAGTCACTAGGAAAAGGGGAACAAGCTTAAAATATCCAAGGCAAGTCACTGAAAGAGGGTAAAGTACATTAAAGAAGGGAGAAAAGCAAATCCCCTTTTCCCTTAGCTTCAGAATAAGATTATTGATTGCCTAAATTTTTTTCCTATTTTTTTCCTATGAAAGGTCCCTAACATTGCTCTTGCCTCCCTGCTGGGTTTAGGAGGGGCACCCTCAACAGAGTTAGCCTCTTCTTTTGGCTGCTTTGAGTTCATCCCTCCCACATTATTCAAATATGAATCATCTCTAATTTCAGGGTTTGGCTGATCCATGCCTCCCTCTCCCCCTGGCCTCCCAGTGTCTTCCACTTCCACCCTCACTGATTCTTAACATCCTTAATTTCCCTCTACTTCTTAGTTATCATATTCAAGGGGAAAGTTAGGCCTTGAATCACCTTGTACCACCTCCTCCCTGAAGTCAGCCAGGCATCTGGGGAGGGGTCCCTGAGTCAGAGGTGCTCTTCCAGACACCCCTAGGTCTGCCCAAGAGACTCTGGGGATTTGCAGGGAATGGGAGAAGAAGGGGAACATATAGTCCTGTCTAGATGGCTAACAGCTTTATGAAATGGAATCATATCCCTGGGGGGGTGGGGGAGGAAATCTAGTTCAGCCCTCTCAGTTTATAGAAATGGAGACCCAGAGAGCAGTAGGCACACAGCACATTCCTGATATAACAGGGACTAGGTCCCAGTTCTCCCAAACCCTGGGCCAGTCCCATTTGCACTCTCCTAGACTGCATCTCTGGGTTTTTTGTTGGAGGGCTTTTTGCCTTATTTTTGTACTGAGGGAGGTGATGCTTTGTGCCTTCTGCCATCTGCAGCTGGAGAGGCCACTTCTCCCTGGAAGCAGGCAACAGGTTAGTTATCAGGGCCATCTCAGCCATCAGATGGCTGGAGCTTCTTTGCTCCACAAGTGAGGCTGACTGCTGAAATCCCATTGACCACCCGCTGGCATCCTCGCCTCCCAGCTTCTGCTCACCCCCCC